TATATATATATATATATATATATATATATATATTGTTTACATACAAGTCAAAATCCTTGTTTACCACCCTAAAATGAATCTAGTAACTCTAGTAACATGCTTATTTATTTACTGAATTGTCAACAGACAAGATACTTTTGGCTGTTATTTGAAGTGTGAACAGGAAATCCAGTGGGAAAGCAGCAGATGTATGAGACTAACAGGCAGGGAATGAGCTTCCTCACAGCTCACAGGTGGGGTCAGGTGTCAAGCTTTGATTGACACCTTGATAGAAAAGAACAGAAATAAACAGAAGAGTGCGTGGGCAATCTGCCAGCTCCTTCTCGACACCAATCCCATCCACCTTCAAAGGCATTGTGATATTTCCGTCCCCTCGCCGAGCTCTCCCCGCATGGATCAGGAAAAATCCACCTTGAGCGTGGGGTGGAAAGAAAAGCATTGATTAGAGGCAAAGACTCCTATAGACACCAGATTTGCAAGTCCAACATGAAGCGAAGGAGGAATAAAGAAGGAAAGGGCATCTTCCTGTCCGTAATGAACACCGCTAAGAGCTCGGAGTTTTCACAGAATCACAGCGGAAGGACCACAGCGGTGTTTAATACCAAGATCTAATGAGCTTTGCACCTCTAACGGCACAAGCGACGGAGGAACGCATTAAACAGCAACCCCGCTGCCAGCGGGATAAACATAGGGGCTTATTAAAACTTCCATTTGTGTTTCCATCCACAGGAGCGCCTCTGAGGGGGCTGATGAGATGATAGAAAGAGGGACGATTAGGACCAGCACTAGAGCAGTTAAGTGTCCATTAAGAAAATGGCAGGAAACGGAGAACGAAGAGGCCGGCGTGTGGAGCATCTTGAAGACACCGCCTCGCTGTCAATCAACGGGCTGGAATCCCTCTCTGTCTCGCACGGATGCAAGGGAGGAAGACAGACACAGGCATTAGTTACAGGGATTTGGAGAGGCATAATCTTTCATGATTCACTCCCTTCCCACCACGATCAAAAGTGACTGGGTTTGAAGAGGCCACTATTCGCCGTGGGCTCTTCTATTGCACGTAAAGAGGATATATTATTATGAAATGGGTTTATGGAAGATAAATACATTTAAAGTAAATGACCCTAATGTGAACAAATTAAGAATAGGAGGGTTAAGATAAGATGACTTTGGACCACTTTGCCAATGCTGATATCATGCCAGACACACATTTGGACTTGATTAACATAATCCTGGGTTATCTGGTTTCATTTTTCTGGGTAGATTTTATGAGGTTAATAACAATAACAGAACGGGAGGAGCAAGTAGCATGTTTTAAGTGCTTGTTCGTTTTGTACCAATAATCTTCACCTTCAACCTAATGCAGGTTGGACGGCATTATGATTGGTTACACGAACCAATGACTTTTGTTTGATATTAAATTACGATACTGATGTCCAACCTGAGGTGCAAGCTTGATTTGAGCATAACTTGATTTGAGAGATGCAGCAGAAGTAAGTCTTAATGCCCATTTTCACATATTTTGTCCCATCCATTGCTAGGGTTATCACTGCTACTGCTATTTCGAGAGTGAATCCCGCATAAATATGCGGATGTCATTCCCAAAACTTTGCAAAGTGTGTGCGACCGAAAAACAAACGTTTTAATTTTGAATGGATTATAGCCTAGAAAGCTCACAAAGAGCGCTCCCTTTATAATCACTAAAAAGCTGTCACTCTTTGTTCATCGCGATCTCAAAAAGTTCTGTTATGACCAATGCATCTCTCTACACTGCGCGATCAATCTATTATTTAAGCTTCATTGTGTATACACTCCGTATGTTATAATGAGAGGATTCGAATGTATAACTCAGAACGGAACAAAAACTGGTGTGGAGACAAAACCGGTATGAAAATGTTTTCATTTGAGTAAAGCCTTTAAGTGTTTTTCTTCATTGAATATGTACAATTTTTCATGTGGTAACACCTAATTTATTTGATTATTCAACCCTTAATATTAACCTAATTAATCTATACATTAGGTTACAGTGATAAAATTAAATTTAATGATTAGATCAGGTAGAAATAGCTCCCTAAAATAACATTTGCAGGTTAGCAGCACTTCTTAATAGTGTACCATAGATTCTACAATGTTTTTTTTTTCTCATCATGCTCATTTTGCGGCCACCCTCTTTTGAGGCAGTGCCCCAGCCTGCCATGATGAATAGAATATAATTTGAGATCGATGAATAGAATTTAAAATAGTAATCTTTTGTAACATTATAAATGTCTTTACTGTCATTTTTGATCAATTCAAATGTCCTTGCTGAATGAAAATAATTTTCTAACAGTAACGTAAGCACACTTTCAGCTAATTCTACATTGGCAATATAAACTCATGAATTACTAAAGAACACATTTGCATTCCTCATTAAATTTCAACAAGACAAAACCATAATAATTGAGAATGTGTTTGCCGCATAAGTCATAAGAATTTATATACAATCAATTAAATAGCATGAGTCACATTCAAGCACCACAGACGGGAGGCGTTCATTGATGTAATTAACCTTGATGTATTACAAACAGCATCAGCATGAACACAAACACATGAAGACACACTCGCACCTACTGTCCTTGTATTGTGTGCAAATAGGCCAACAGGCCTCTGGAGAGCTCAGCTCCTGGCTGTCAGTTGCCATAGTCTCCAACTCAGCTGACAGCCCTGGATTGCTCCCTCTAGCTTTAACCAAGTCTGCCACACCGTTCTGGAGACCAGTGAGAAGACAGCACACCTCTTTTTTTACTATTTTCCAAGAGCTTCCCCAGGTGCATTCATTTCATCTTCGCAAAGTAATCTTCTCTGACCCCTTTTGGCCCACTCAAACAGTTTTGAAATGAAAGCAAATTGTGCTGTGCCCCGAAAAATTGAAATGATATGTACGTGGCAGAACAGTCTCTTCAGCCTCTGTGGTGGAACTGACACCTTCACTTTCAAAAGAGCAGCATCTGGCACAGCCCGAGGGGTTTTGACTACACTCTCTGAAAAAAATGGTACAAAAGTTGTCATTGGGGCAATACCTTTCAAAAGGTACTAATATGTACTATTTAGGTACTAATAGTTACACTTTAGGTACCAATATGCACCCTTTAGGGGTAAATAAGGTACAAAAGTTTATCTTTTGGAAAGGTACCGCCCCAGTGACAGCTTTTGTACCTGTTTTCTGAAAGTGTAAGGACACACAATTTGATAATGAGCCTATATGGTATTGGGCAATATTATTGTGCTTCTTCACGTACAGACACTACATATAATTCTGTTTTTAGTTGCCTATGTTGTGAATTAGTCTATTGACATGAGAATATATAGCGACATTTGAACACTGCAACATAATTCAATCTGCTGGACTTTTGTTAGGCCTAATCAAACTAAAATGTGTAATACACATCAAAATAATAATTGAACATTTGTGTAGGGTATAGGCCAAGCTAAAAGACTCATTTACATATTTGTGTAGGGTACAGCTAAGCTAAGCGTCTAAATTCAGCATCTGCAAAGTGTACTATAGGCTAAGCTAAAAGGCTAATTTGACCAATTACGCAGGGTATAGGCTAAGCTAAAATGTTAATTTAAACATTTGTGAGGGACCTAGCTAAGCTAAAAGTCTAATTTTAACATTTGTGAAGGGTATGGGCTTAGCTAACAGGCTATTTTAAACATTCCGTATGCTATAGGCTTAGCTAACATGCGGTTAGCCAGGAAAACCAAAGCTAACTAAAAAAAAAAAAAACAATAACAAAAAATGAGAAAGGTTGTATGTATTTAATAATATTTCATTTATTCATTTATTTGCACAATCGTGTTATTTACTGTTCTTTGTCAATTTAAAATGTACATCAGACATTTTTTCAGACACTGAATAGCACCCATTAAAAGTTCTTTCAGCCAATGGCTCAATTCAATGACAAAATTTTTCCTGGCACTTATACGTAAATAAATCGTAGGTTTTAATGGTGCATTCTGGGAACTTCTAGGGAATGCTTGATTTTGACAACGGAACAGTCCTAGAAAAGGTCAACTCCCTGGGAAGTGCACTTGGCATTGAGACAACCATAAATGGGAGATAAAGGATTCTCAGTGTAAATGACAGGAATTCTTTACTTTTCTTTGCGCAAGTACACAATCACTAACACCTGAAACCTCTAATAAACTCAGACACACACACACACACACACACACACACAGAAACACTGCTGAAGCTTGCAGCACAAATGAAAGTACTGAACTGAACCAACTTTCATATTTTGGTCGGAGAGATTCCCATGGGCGGTCTGTTCCCAGGGTCAGTTATCTGCTGGTTCCACATAAGCTAGTTTTTTTGCCCAATGTTTTCTTACAGCTGGGCAACGAGTTCAGTTCACACAGAATTAATCAAACGCGCCGCCCATTTAGAATTCATGATGCAAGTTTCCATACTAAAAACAATCAATAATACACAGCCAAAGCCACCACGGACTTCACATGTCACCTAATGCCACTAAATTCACAGTGTGACCCTGAGAAGTAGGCTTCCCTGATGGCTACTGTGCCCGTATATGGTAAAACAGGAAGTAGCTTTGACAAGAACGACGAGTGCTGACCATTCAAGTCTTTTTCCTACTCTGCACTTTTAAGCGAAAATCATTTTGTACATGGCTTTTTTAGGTGGCAGAGGGATCAAACTAAATTCCAGGGACTGAACTGCTGTCATATTTAAGAGTAGTCAGTTAGTATCTTGCACACACCATTAAATGATGCACACATTCATGTCTTCCTTACTAAAAAGTTTTATATAGAAAGAAATGGATACTACTTTTCAAAAAATCTTGTTTAAAATCATGTCTTATTTTACTTGGAGTGGGTTGCGTAACGGGGGCAGCCATATTGAAATCACAAGACCAGTGCTGTTATTGTTATTGTTAACTAGTAATTGAAATAAAGCTGAAATAAAATAAAAAGATTTTAAACTTAAAAATCTTAAACAAAAATTTGAAATTTTGACTTGGCAACTAACTGAAATAACTCTGTTAAAGTTGAAGTACTAAAATTGCAAAACGGAAATAAAACAGAAATAAAGTTAAATTGTAATATTAAAAACTAATGAAAATGACAAATATATATAACAAAATAACTACAAATATAAAAAAATAAATATAAAAAAACGAATTCAACAAAATATTAATAAATAATAATAATAATAATAGCATATATAATAATACTAAAATAACACGAGACCAGTATTCTGGAAACCAGCAAAATACTGCTCTGTTTTTCTTGGTGATAATTTTGAATATTATTATTATTGTATTATTAATTGTAATAAATTATAACTATAAAATAACTTAAGTTACAGCTAATTACAATTTCTTTTAATTTCTTTAATTTTGAGAGATTGGCGTAGGGTGTACTGATAATCGTTTATGATGTTTTTGTCAATAATAACAGTCTTTAATAATCGGTTTCATTCGCCTTCACAAGACTCTCAGTAGTTGACCACCAGTGTGTGAACTCTTGAAAGGATAAAGCTGTGTTTGTGTTCACTGAAGCACATAAGCTGTGTCTGGAGAACTCATAAATCCCCAGTGTTGTGCGGTAAACTGCAGTGCAGACAGAACTCAGATATGCCTCAAGGGCAGACACACATGGAACTGACGATGTTTCAGTACAACTGAATTTGCAGACACGGACACACACTTCAATCTGTCCTCCCTCCTCAGCAGCAGGAAACCTCATAATGCATGATGACACCTGAGCCCAACATTGCTCCTGCCCTGAAGTAAACACACACAAATGTAAAAGCTGAAATCAATGTGTCCTCCTCTACTCCCTAAAGCAAAGGTTCTTCATAATGCATCAATAATGCATGAAGCTCCACAGGCTCAGAGCAGGGGGTGGGACACTGAATCCTCCCCCTGGGCTTCTCCTACATTACAGACACAAGGATTTCAGTCTTTCCCTGGAAAGCATAGGTCTACAGCTCTATTCCTGGCTATTGCTTATCACCTGGAGATACACATCACTCAGTAATGATCAATACCTCTGAAACTATACGAATAAATTCCATTACACAGTACCTTTTGAGCTTTGTAAATACATCTCTACGTTAAGAAGTATTTATATAAAAGACTTCACCAGACTTTCAGAAAGTCTCAAGCTCAGATATTTCAACTTTATTAATTATTTACAAAATGGCAAGAAATTTTACAGGGTGGAACCTAAAAATAAGGTTCCAAATAATGGGCTGTGAGGGATCTTACATCAGGATGTCAACTAAAAGTTCCTTGTGCTATCGCTGAGCACCTTTTAGAATTTTGATCATATAAAATTGATTTCTGTAATTTTATGAAACGGTATAGAATGTTTTAAAGTTAAGTAAACCAATTAAACTACAAAAAATCAAAGAGTTAATTCAATCTGTTGCTAATACAGATGTTTGTGCTTTTGTTTTCTCATCATAATGATGTCACTTCCTTGGAGGATGATGTCACTAAAAATTGTTAATAAGGCATATTACAAGAATACACACACACAATAATAGTAATTATTATTATTATATAAAAAGGTATATACCTTTTTATATAATAATAATAATTACTATTATTGTGTGTGTGTATATATATATATATATATATATATATAAATGTAATGGTTGTGATTTTATTATTATTATTACATGGAGGTATGACAATTAATGGGGGCATTATTAATAAAAAAAAAATACATTTATTTTATAGTGACTATATAACAATATAATTTAAATATAATCAGTATATGTAACTATTATATATTAATAATGGGATTTTTAAATAAACCAGCTTACCATTTTGTGTAATGTAATATACTGTATAACAGTATCATTATTTTTTGTGAAGGGGCTATGAAAATATACTGCATGTATTCCACCGATTTCAATAGAACCTCCTGATCAAAATGGCTTCAAATGGTCAGAAAGGAAACACTGACGAGTGAACGGACTGAAAAGCAGTTGTAAATGTAGCAAAATGAGACAAAGACACAGAGGAAATATCGTGATGTAATTTTATTAAAAGTCTATTTACAGAAATTAAGAGTCGTGTTCATGAGTCGTGATTCATTCTGTCGTCTTTCGCTATGTTCCCATAGAGCACGTCTCCAATGAGTTTCCGAACCGCTACTGTGTCACTGATATCTGTAAGGTGCACAAACACACACACCCAGAGTTTTATGCTCGTTTGGTGATGATTCTCAGCTTTCCAGCAGGATGCAAAACACTGAAGACAGTGTAGAAACAAACTAAAGCTTATTTCAAGCCTGCATGTGTGTGTATGTGGGTGTGAATAGAAAGCACTGCGTAAATTAATTATACATTTAAAAAATGGGCACAAACGGAGACCTTTTTGTCGTCAGAATCCATTTTAGACTCATCGAAGATATTTTGGAAATGCCACAAAGAACATTCATCAGAGCTCCAAAAGCCTCAATATTAATTCATGCCTACTAATGCTTTTTAAAATATCCCTTTGAATACATTTGCATAATATAGTTATTTTACAGATTCAGTAAAATTCAACTAAAACAAACTCTCCAATCTACTACTTAATATTTAATCAACCCTAATTTTGAAATGTTCCATCTGGGAATCAAAAAGTCAGCAATTAACCTGGAAATAAAAGCCATCTTGAAAAGAAACACACGTGTTAAACATTACGAAAGTATAAAATAACTAACTAAATAAATAAGTAATATAAGAAATAAAATAATAAGAAAAAAGAATATAAAATATTACCCATTTATTGGTAAAGACATTGGCCTTATGTGTCTCATTTGGCATGAATCTCCACCTACAGTTTATCCCCAAAAACATCACGAATCATCACCCACTATACCTCTCCATCTTTTGTGATTCCTCTCACCTGCAGGCGTCCAGGGTGGCTGCGTCCCGTGGCACAGTAAGCTAATCACGCTTTGAAAATCACGTTGTGGGAGCACATCAGACTCAGAAGATGAATAATTAACAGTGGCCCCAGGAAGTCAAGCTGGCTTTTCATTAACAACTGTGCATGTGGCAGGAGTCTGAGTGAGCAGAATGACCTGCCCCCCCTTCAGCCCAGTCAAACGCTTTCAAATACGAAGGCAAATTGTGCCGCGTCACAAGAAATTTTAATGATGTGACACGTGTTCAAAAGTCTCTTCAGCCTCTGCGTGGACTTCACACAAAACACTTTCAGAAGAACAGCATCTGTGCTGGGTTATTTTTACACCAGAGATCTTTTTTTCTGCCAGGTTGCCATTTTACACAGTAAAATTCCAGACTGGAGTTTAAAGCAATAAAAAAAATTGAATTCATTGAATCATATTATCATCTCTCTTAACCATTATCGACCATCATTTCAGCAAAATAGCAGTGCATCCCTAGTTTCAACACTACAATGCATGCGTTTCATAAATTATATATTGGCATATATATTTTTCCCATGCTTCTCCAGATGGTCATGTGAGCAATGTTGAGCTCTACAAACGATCACACACACAGACAGACATCCACTCACCCACTCCCAGTCTGTGAAGCAGGTCTGGATACTCGGGTCTCTCTTCCAGCACACTCAGCAGGTTGGTGGGCTCCATCCTCTCCAGCTCCACTCTCCAGTACACATAGATCTTATGGTTAAAGCTCACGTAGACCAGGCAAGGGCTGTTCCTTCCATCTTTACAAGCATACTGGCCTAATGGAGAAAATAAGACCATGATAAAGAGAACATTTTACATTAAAAACTGTGGGGCAGATTTAATAAACAGGCAAATTAGTGTGAGATGCACAGAACAGTGCTGATGGGAGTGGAAAGTTCTACAGGTGATCTACTGACAATTCACAAATTAAAGACCAGAGATGCAGCCAGATTGTTTCCATAATGACCCACGCAATCTACCAAGATCAAATTAGCAACTAGTTCAGTTAAGACAGTTAAGACATGCTTTTTTGGGTGTTAAATAATAGCTCAAATGCCAGTAAACTGACTACTGCAAACCTTAGAATATCACGCTGATTTATTTAAATGCTCTCCTCCCATAAATATCGCATCTGAAAGGGAAACTCCTACAAATGCATATGGAATAAGGTCAGCCGCAAAAATAACCATGTCCATGTCTTTTCATTGTTGATTTTTTATTGCATGTAATAATCTTAAAAAAGTTTTTTTTAACTCCAGGGTTTGCCCTGATGCAAGTTGTTAGTAAATACAGCCCTATATTACTACATGTCAAAATATTATTATATTAAACGATAATATTTATTATAAAATAATAAATATTATAATATATATAATATTGTCTATTTTTTATTGTAAACACACACACACACACACATACATATATATATTCACATTCAATAACATTTATCATAATAACAATTTTATACTAATATTAAATAAACTGCATCATCAACCAGTAATTAACATAACAAGGATTATGACAATAATAGCAAATAACAACGCATTTCAATATATTTGATTTTATAATAGATATATAACCATGATTTGATTAATATAATTAGATTTTCAATCTCCAGTCCTGGATTATGATTGGTCAATACAGTAATATAGTAGCAGTATAGAAATATAGTAAAAGTTATTATATATATATATATATATATATATTTTTTTTTTTTT